TGGGTCGCGGGTGGGTCGCGGGGTGGGTCGCGGGTGGGTCGCGGGGTGGGTCGCGCGGTGGGTCGCGGGTGGGTCGCGGGGCGGGTTGCGGGTGGGACGACGACAAACAACAACAACAACAACAACAACAACAATCATTTTACCCGAACGCTCAGTGTTCTCCCCAGTGCCAGGGTTTTCATGCGACGCCAGCCAATACCCCCACTTCGTGGGGGGGCAATGCAAGCTCTACCAAACATCCACACGACTCTCGGGAACCACCCACACCCAGCTTCCCGCCCTATGACGTCAGGACACTTCACTTCGTGGCGCGCGGACGATCGTGGATACTACACTGGCGTGGAGTACACACCCGCAGAGGTTGATCACTTGTTTGGGCCCCGCATGTGCCCCGCATCGTGCATTTGTTGCGCATGACATACATAGTACAAAGACAGAGAGAGAGAGAGAGAGAGAGAGAGGACAGCGCGCGCGGGTGGAAATTTTGAAAAGTCGTGCAGGTGTTTTTCGAGGACCTACGGTGCGATTCGTGTGATTTTATGATGCGCGGTGGTAAAATTCTTAAAAACCCAATGGTTTTTGTAGATTTCGGCGTGCGCGCGCGAAGAAAAAACGAATGTGTCCCGCATGGTATTATTTGACAGGGATGATGGCCCTGGCAGGTGCGCAACCGTTGTCGCAGAAGTTTGAAAAAGTTGCTCGCAAAAACCCGTTTGACAAAATTGTTTAAAAAGTAATGGTTTTCCTACGAATCCGCAAGAGCGCGCGGGATGAGATTTTGACAATTTTTTATTTAAAAAACCATTGGGTTTTTGATGTTTTTATGTTGAAATCGTTCCGAAACCTAAGGTTTTGGAAGGATTTCGTCTTGCGCGCACGAATGTCCACTTTACCTTATTTTTTGCAAGGGATTCTTGCAATTTGATCAAGTAAGAACAAGAATTTTCATTTTATAGTGTTTTTTGCAAGGGAAAACGGGGGGGAACAAAACAACCGGATCCGGTACTAATCCACTTTTCTGAAGCTTTCGCGAAAAAGTGATGAAAATGTAGCTGCGGCCTAGGTTTTGGAGGGGGGTCGTGTACCAGGGGTCCCAACAATAATTATTCTTTAGAAGTAATAATGTTCAACAACAACAACAACAACAACAACAACAACAATAATCCGCACCGCGGAATTCCACATCAGCCACGCACCCAGGGACAGTGAATGACCGTTCGGCCCCCTCACTCTGACCAAGAAAACTATTTGCACATATGGGGAGCCCCGCGTCGAGTATTTGTTGTTCCAACATCCTTCGTTTCCGGAGCAGATTTGGACGATGTCTGGAGCGAGGCGATCATTTTCACAGCCCTAAGAGGAGCCGCCGAGGGGTATTGCACGGTCCCGTTCGCGGCCGTGTTGTGCGGACGTCTCAAGCGGTTTGCGTGTTTTCTGTCCCAACATCCTTCGCATTCGGAGTAGATTTGAAGGGTGTCTCGAGCGAGGCGCTCATTTTCACGTCCCTGAAGGGAGCCGCCTATGGGGTATTGCACGGTCCCGTCCGCAGCAGTTTTGTGGGGATGTCTCAAACGGTTCGCTTGTTCCCCATATCCTAAGAATGGGGTTCTTGTTATTGGCAGACCGCGCAGGAGGAACACAGGAGAACAGGAACACCCTCACCTCCTTTCACTCAGGCCCACTCAGGCTCACTCATCACGCAGACGCACTCATCACTTAGACTCACTCGTCACTCAGACTCACTCATCACTCAGACCCACTCATCACTCATACTCACTCATCACTCAGACTCACTCATCACTCGGACTCAGTCATGACTCAGGCGCATCACTCATCACTCAGACTCACTCATCACTCAGACTCACTCATCATTCAGACTCACCACTAAGATTTACTCGTACCTGTATTCATACATTCACTACACTCACTCAGGTCCACTCATCGGATGATTCACACACACTGATGTTGACGATGTGTCAGGCGATTCGGTTGTCCCAGCACTCCTAAGGGGAGCGGCGGGGGGGTATTTCACGGAGTCCCGTTCGCGGAATGTTGTGGGGATGTCTCCAACGGTTTGGCCATTTTCTCTTCCAGCGCGTTTCGCTTTCGGAACAGATTTGGAGGATGTCTCAGGCGATTCGCTGGTTTCAGCACTCCTAAGGGGAGCGGAGCGGCGGGGGGGTATTTCACGGAGTCCCGTTCGCGGGATTTTGTGGGGTCGGAACAGATTTGGAGATGTCTCAGGCGACTCGCTGGTTCCAGCACTCTAAGGGGAGCGGCGGGGGGGTATTTCACTCGGCCCCTTTCGCGTGAGTTTGTGGGGATGTCTCAGGCGGTTTGGCCATTTTCTCTTCCAGCATGTTTCGCTTTCGGGGCAGATTTGGGGGACGTTCGCGCCCAGTTCGCGGGGATGTCTCAGGCGGTTTGGCCGTTATGTTGCTGGGCATCTGTCGTTTTCGGAGCAGTTACCGGAGGATGTCTCAGGCGATTTGCTGGTTTCAGCACTCCCAAGGAGGAGGAGGAGGAGGAGGAGGAGGAGGAGGAGGAGGAGGAGGAGGAAGAGAAGGAGGAAGCGAGGAGGAGGAGGAAGAGGACGAGGAGGAGGAGGAGGAGGAGGAGGAGGAGGAGGAGGAGGAGGAGAGGAGGAGGAGGAGGAGGGGATGATGATGATGGTGATGATGATGATGATGATGAGGAGGAGGAGGAGGAGGAGGAGGAAGAGGAGGAGGAGGGAGGAGAGGAGGAGGTTTGTTCTTAGTTTGGCTTTCCGCTTCTTCCTTTTTTTTTTTTTTTTTTTTTTTTTTTGTTTTTTCATTATTCTGCATTCATGCGCACTCGTACTCAGGCATCACACGCAGGCACATACGCTCTTAGACTCGCTCAAATCCATATTTAAACTTCCATCACTCATGCTTTTCATACTCACTCATACTCATACTCTGCAGTCACACGCAGGCTCACACGCTCTTAGACTCGCTCAAATCCATATTTGAACTTCCTCACATTCAGACTCACGCTCAGAACCACTCATACTCAGACTCGCTCCTGCTCAGCCTCATCATCCTTCGGTCCGCTCAAACGCAGACCGACTCACACTCAGACTGCCTCACATCCATACCCAATCACACTCGGCTCACTCGCACTCAGATTCATTAACACACACGCACACACACACTGCTTCTCACATTCAGGCACACTCAAGCCCAGACTCACCCATGTTCAGACTCATCATGCTACGATCCGCTCAATCACAGACTGGTTCACACCCAGATTCGTCCATACCCAGACCCACTCGCACACAGACGCACTCGCGCTCATATTTACACGCATGCCCACTCAAACCCAAGCTCAATTGCACCCAGATTAACTCACACTCAGAACCAGTCGCTCTCAGATTTGCTATTGGTCGCACGCATGCTTGCCGACTGTGGGAATGTCTCGGGCGAGCGGTTCGCCGTCGCACACAGGCGTTCAAGATATCCAGAGAAAAACGTACCAAGAACATGATATGCACATATGGGGGGCCCCGCGTCGAGTAATTTTTTGTGGCAGCATATTTTTTGCGGAGAGCAGATTTGGACGATGTCTGGAGCGAGGCGTTCATTCTCACATCCCTAAGGGGGCCGAGGGGTACTGCAGGGTCCCATTCGCTGCCAGTTTGTGGGGATGTCTCAAGCGGTGTGCGTGTTTTCTGTCGCAACATCCTTCGTTCTCGGAGCAGGTTTGGGGGATGTCTTGAGCGAGGCGCTCAGCTTCACGTCCCTCAGGGGAGCCGCCGATGGTCTCATTAACAGTTTTTTTTGTTGCGGGGATGTCTCGGGCGGTTTGCTTGTTTTCTGTCCCAACATCCTTCGCTGTCGGAGCAGATTTGGGGGATGTCGCGAGCGAGGCGCTCATTTGCACGTCCCTAATGGGCCAGATTTTGAGGATGTCTCGATCGGTTTGGTTGTTTTGGTGTCCAGGCCCGTGGGTGCAGATTCATTTCAGGATGCCACAGGACGTTCCAACAGGCTGCAGAATGCACCAGGGGACCAGATGAGGTCCCAGGAGGCACCAGGAGGCCACATAAAGATTCAAGAAGCCACAGGATGCCCCAAGAGGCTCCAGGAGGCCACAGGAAGCTCCAGAAGGCTTCAGGAAGCCACAGGAGGCCACAGGAAACGCCAGGAGGCCTCGGAAGGCAACAGGAGGCCCCGAGAGGCTCCAGGAGCAGGAGGCTTCAGAAGGCAACAGGAGTGGTTCCAATCCCATGTGTTGTACGTATGCTCCCATCGATTGGGCCTCACCTGGAGCACGAGAGCACGATTTCTCGATGCTATACGTATGTTTCTATATATTGTCCTTCTCCTGTGTACACAATCCTACATGTTGTTATCGATGTTCCTATGTATTGGGCCTCTCCTGGGGCACGATTTCTGGTGTTTTATGCGTGTTCCTATAGATTGCCCTTCTCCTGTGGCTCTCTAATTCGCAATGTTTTATGTGCGTCTGTTGCTATAGATTGGGCCTCTCCTGGGGCACGACACCTCCCTAGGAGGTCCCAGGAGGCCCCAAGAAACCCATGGAGACACCGGGCAACCCCAGTAGTTTTCAGGAGGCCCCAGGAGGCCCCAGGCTCATGCGCAGAGACGCGCTCGTACTACTGACGCTCATTCACACTCCAACTTCATTCGCAGTTCGATTCATGTCCAGACCGTCACAACTGAAGCCCGTTTATATTCGAAAGCTCTTGCGCCAAGACATTCACGGTGGACAGGTCCATACGAATAGATGCATATATGGGGAGTTCCACGCAGTGACTAATTGTTGTTGTTGTTGTTGTTGTTGTTGTTGTTGTTGTTGTTGATACTGTTGTTGTTGTCGTCGTCGGCCCCCCCCCGCGACCCACCCGCGACCCACCCCGCGACCCATCCGCGACCCACCCGCAACCCACCCGTGACCCACTTGCGACCTATCCGCGACCCACCCCGCCACCCACCCGCGACCCACCCGCGAACGAGCCACATTGGTTTGAAGAAAAAATCGGCGCCTGCGGCGGGCTTCGTTGTTTAATTTGTGAGACGTTGGCGCCTGCGGCGGGCTTCTCCAGAGTCTCGCAGACTGCCGACGTCCCCACCACCGCCTCACTCTTATCCGCATCCGCGGAGCGCTACGTACTTTCTGGGCTGGCGACTTTGGCGGCTCGGAGCGCCACATCGGCAGCGTGTTTTTTTTTGTTTCGATGCCTCGGGCTTGCATGTTAGAGGTTCAGGGGTTCCCTTTCCTCCCTCTCCTCCTCCTCGTTCCCTTGTCCTGTCTCTTTCTCTCCCTCTTCGGACCCGGGGGCACGAGTTTTGGCCCTGGGCGAGAGGCTGAGGCCCAGGCGGCCCACTGCAATTGTTGTATATTATTTCAGGAGCCGGAGCTTGAGTTCTGCTCGCTCGCAGGCTTGACCTTTCCTATCCGCATGGCAGAGCTCCAGGTAGAGCGGTCTCTTTCTCGAGGGATCGGGAGGGGTTGTTCGTCGCGTCGCGGGCGAGCGGGGGGGTCGGAAGCGGAAGAAGGTACAGCAAGTTGAATTGTTCGTGCCATGCTCGCGCCAGTTCGTATTGCTGTCAGTGGCTGTCTGTTGTGCGGGCCGCTCCTACTTCTGTGCGTAGTTCGCGCCAGTTTGCACGATTTTCAGTTGCATCTGGTTGCCAAGCCACCGCTTTGAGGCTGCTGCGTGGGTCCTATCCCCCAGCATGTTTGTGCTGAGTTCCACGAGGGCCGCCGAGGTTGCTGGCGCCCAGCAGAACATCCATCCATTTGTCGCTCGGTGTTCCGGGACTTTGTATGGACAGAAATCCACGCGAGAATCCGGTGCAGCGCGTCTGCATGGTCGGTGCAGTGAGCATTCTCCCACCAGGGTAGCTGTTTCACCGGGGAAGGTTCGCACTCCCTGCTGCAATGACATCGCGGGGGGAAACACGCAGACGCAATGGATCGCCGATGCCCCAGAAAATGGGAGAGAATACGGGAAGTGGGGGGAGAGAATCCCCCCGGCGGTGCGCGCCGACGGTGCTCCCGGCCCAGGGCCTGCCTCTGCTCCCTGCGGTGCGCGCGGGAGGGCCCGACGCCGCGCGGCGCGCGGCCCTGCGGGCGCGCCTGGCCGGGCGGCCCAGCGCACCTGACCAATTTGGTGCACGGCCGCGCAGGGGAGCTCCCGGGTGGCCCGTCGGACGCTCACGCGGCGCGCTGCCCGTTCCCCCCCTCCTTCGCTCCCCTCCCCACCTGCCTCTGTCCCTGTCTCTGCCGCCGGGCGTCGCAGGGATCTGTAGAAGCAGATGCGTGTCCCTGGGCCCCTTCACGCATGCCAGACTTGCTTCTGTGTCCGTGCGGCGCAGCGCCGCCCTGTGACACGGACGATTCTCCCAGGCCCAATTTGCAGTCATCGTGCGTGGTACCATCACCGCCTACCGCTTGCCAGTGCCCAGCGCTTCTCTCGCATGGGGTCGAAGTAGATGGGGTCGGAGGCATGCGCTACGTCGCCGATGCATCGACAATGCGACTCGATGCGGAGCCCAATTGTCTCCACGCCGACATCGCCGATGCATCGCCGACGCCGCCAGCGCATCGCCGATGCATCGGCGATGCGTCGCCAATGCATCGGCGATACGGCGAGATCCTCCAACCCCATCTACTCGGACCCCATCTAGGAGGCTTCTAAGTACCCAGCGCTTGCACGGTACACGTTCCCATGGGGACACGATGCATCACCACGAATGGTTCGAAGTTTGGGGTTGTCCCAGGACATGTAGTGGACTTCGGCCCATGCCGCCATAGTGCCTGGGTCGTGGACCCGATGCCTCCTCGTCGCTTCTTCGGTTCTCTCTTTGGGGGACATCTTGGGAGCGTCGGGGGTCTTCTGGGTGATCTTTTTGGGGGCCTCTTGAGGCTTCGTGGGGGCCTCTTGGGGCCTCTTTGAGGGTTTATGAGGGTTTCTCGGGGGCCTCTGTGAGGGTTTCTTGGGGGCCTCTTGGGGGCCTCGTTGAGGGTTCCTTGGGGGAGTTTAGGAAGCCTCTCGAGGGCTTACTGGCGGTCTCGGAGGCCATCTTCGGGGGGGGGGTCCAGGGCCCGTTTGGGGTCACTCTTCGAGCCCCGTCTTCTGCTAGGGGGGCTGTTGAACCGTAGGTCGGCGATCCTGGGGGTCGTTTGGGTCCTCTTTCCAGACCGCATGGAATCTCGTGAGGACGTGCTTAGTGATTTGGGCCTCTTGAAGGAAGACCCAACACAGGCCATTGGGGCCATCATGTGGCGGTCTGGAGGTTCGGACACCGAGCAGCGTTTGCAAGGCTTCTGGGAAGTCGTGCGCCACGCCTGTGGAGCTCGCAGCCGCGCGCCCGACAGCCCAGACATCAGGGGCCCAGGGTTCTCAGAGAGCACTCGCAGTACACTCGAGACGCTGACAGGAGGACTACTTTGGGCTCAGGAGGGCGGGCCGATCCTTAGATCCAGGTCGGGTTGCTTGTTTGAAGCCGAAGCTCGCCGTGGTCAGAAACGCCCCTTCGTTCTTTTTTCAATGTTTCTTCTGGCAGCACGATGATTGTATTCAGCATTCGGAATAGCATTGAGGACCTGAGGACGCTACACTAAGAGCGTGCGGCATGGTGGCGGGTATTGGAGCCATGGGTTCCCGTTTGCGCGAATCGATTTCAAAGCATGCACGCGTTGACCGGTTCGGAGCGAGCAGGCGTAAGTATCAGTTTTGCGGACAGCGGAGGCCCTCTGCGAGCACAGCGCCAGAATTCATATCAGAGGCAGCGTCAGCGGAGGGCTTTCGCCCTGTGTCCAGGTGTTGGACGCCGCGCGGCGGCGTCGAGGGATGGCCCCGGGGCATGCCGGGGGCATGGTGTCCGAGGCGGGGGTTTATCCATAACCACTGCCGGGGGGATCGAGCTTCAGGGACCCTGGCATGCGGTGGACACGAATATATAGTCGGGCACCCTCGGGCCAGAATCAATCGAGCAGCTGATGCAGAATTCGCCTCCCGAAAAGATGGGCTGGCGTTTCTTAACCGACTGGCTGCACTGGGAGGCTGGCCCAGTGCCTCGAGCACGTTCGCCTCTGCGGCACGACCAGAAACGTTTGCCCTGGTTCAGAATGCTCATGGGAGGCTGGCCCAGGGGTCTGAAGCCAGCGTTCTTAGCCATTTCTTCCTCGGTGTATCCATTCCGACGAAGGCATCTATACACCACCACACCACCACCGTGCCAGGCCAGGGCCATCCTGGGCCCCAGGATGGTGTATAGACCCTCTTGGCCTCGGCCAGGAGGGCGTATACACCATCCTGGGGCCCAGGATGGCCCTGCCTTGGCACGGTGGTGGTGTATAGATGCCTTCTGCGAATCCATGCCCACCGCCCGCGCGGGGCCGCGGGCGTCGCTCCCCCGGGCGGCATGCCCATGGATGGGTGCCCGCCTCCTGCGGGAGGGCGCGGGCGCCCTGGCGGGTCGCGGGGGGATGGTCGCCGCGCGGCCCCGGCGGGGGCACGGGCGCCGTGCGGGCACTTGTGGGGTCGGGGGCGGAAAAGAGGGGGTGATGACTAGGGGGGGTGGATATCATGGCGTGGGCCATCATATTTCCCCAGATTTCACATGGCGCCTCTTCTTATTTCATTACGTCCCTGGCCCCCCCGCTGGGCCGCGCACATGCCGCCGGTCATGATTTGCACCCCCCCCCTCTTGCACACCCCCCTTTTGGCCGCTCCCGATTGTGGGGGGCCCTTGCCGAGTCTCTTAGGCTTGCACCTCGTGCAGCTTGTCTGGGCCTCCCAGATGGGGATCGGAGCAGATGGGGTCGGAGGACTGTTCAGCATCGCCGACGCGTCGACCATGCGGCTCGATGTGGAGCCTGGCTTCGGCTCGATGTGGATGCCGGTTGAGACATCCTCGCGATCTGGGCCCCCTGCTGGGCGAAAGTGAGCGCATCGCTCGAGGCATCCTCCAAATCTGCTCCGAAAGTGGAGGATGTTCCGGCACCGAAACAGGCAAACCACTCGAGCCATCCCCGAAATGTTGGCGCGAACGGAAGCCGTGAAATCGCCCCTGGCGGCTCCCTGGCGGCTCCCCTTTGTGGGTGCTGAAACCCGCGCGTCGCTCGAGACATCCTCAGAATGTGCTCTGAGCGCAGACGAGCCAGGCCCCCAAAGCAAGCAAACCGCTCGAGACATCCTCGCCATGTGGGCCCCCCGGGGTGCGAAAGCCAGCGCCTCGCACGAGACATCATTTTTCATCCGCGTCACTCACCATCTGCATCATCATCGTCGTCACTCTTATCGTTAGCACTCGGTATCATCATACTCTGGGTGCATCATCATACGCTGAGTAGGATGGGGAAGAGAGGGAGGAGGCGAGGAGGAGGAGGAAGGACGTCCGCGCGGTCACAGTAATAACAAGGACCCCATCTTCTGGATGCGGGGAACAAGAAACCCATTATGTGGATATAGGTTCACATGGGACCCCCTGGGGTATTACACCCCGAGGGGGCTATTCGGACGCACCCCTTATCGAGGGCGGACGCCCCCCATCGTGAATCCCAGGGTTGGGGCCAAAAACTTCCCACGCTTCGCGTATCCCCAGCAGTACCGCCTGCCGGTGGCGCTTCCGCCTGCGGCTGTAAAAAAAACATATCCCCACCAGTGCCCTCCCACCCACCGGTGCCGCACGTCAAAGGACGGCGTGTAACACTCTGTGGGCGGCGCCAGTGCACCCCCAAGGGACTCTTCCGACAGGTTCCCCAGGCGTGGAGCGCAGCAACCAAGGATTGCTGCAGACACAGGAAACACCCTGGAATGGCCGGCCTACAGGAGATCCTCAGTGGCGCCCTCGACGACCCAAAGTGGGACCAGCTCCGGAAGGAAATTATAGACACAGATGGCCTCCCCATGGAATCCTGCAAGACCCGGTCGCTCTTGGTCGTCATGATGTTAATGCTCCGCGAGCCACGCGTGTTCCTGTGGCCGTTCTCTCATGCAGAGCAGGCTGGGGATGTCATCGAAGCCATCCTGGGTTTCTGTGTTCCGTGGCAAGAAGCGCACCGAGGGTTCCGGCACGACTTCGCAAGAACATGGGGACTCACGCTAGACAGCCTAGCCGACCTCCACGGCCGCATCGAGGCAATCCTGCCCCACATCTCCAAGCTCGTAGCTGTGACGCACCACCACCCGGACGCGCAGGCAGCTGGCTGCCCGCAGACCTGGAGTGAAATGGACAGACAGGATTTTCAGTTGAAGGCGCCGATGCTCGTCCTTGAGAAGATCGTCCCAGCCGCCTCCCTGGCTCCCCTGGGTACGCACCGCTGCTCGGTGTGCGCGCTTCACGTCGCGCTTGCGGGTTCCGACGCCTCCCTGGGCGACGACGATCGGCTCGCCGGGTTCGCCTACATCGGCGGCGGATTCGCATTATCCAACACCGACCTCAACGCCCCCTTGCCGTCCACCCCCGCCCCAGGCACCAGGCAGGACCCTCCACACATTCCCGACGACAGGCTGACACCCGAGCAGAAGAATGGCAGGTTCAAGTGCGACAGGTGCGGTAAGGACCAGCTACGCTCCACAGAAGGCACGTGGATCTCCGACGACACGCGCCTGATGGTAGCACAGAACCGGTACCAGGCCTACTTCAACGGTGCGAACATGGGATGGCACTGCGAGACCTGCTGGATCCGATACCTGGAGGACCAGGGCATCCCAGCACCAACCGGCGCAACAATCGCGGACAAGGTCAAGGAACACGAGCAGCAGAGGATTGGTGCCGCAAGCGACAAAAAGGCGGACGCCCTCCCCTCCCTGGGTCACCTCCCGCTTGGCTTTGGATGCAGCCCCCAGGCGGACACGAGGTCGCTGTCGGACCTCATGATGACGCCGACTGGCATGCAGATCCCTGAGCGCGCCAACACCACCATTCCCATCCTACGGGTCCGAGATGAGCGGTTCGGCCTCAAAGCTGCGCAGAGCAAAATCTACTCCGCACGGTGCGACACATGCCCCCCAGGGGCTCCGCTCCTCGTCTGGAACACAGGAGCCCCTCCCCTGGGCTGCTTCATATGGAAGCCAGCGGAGGGGGTAGGGGTTCCCGAGCAGGCCGGGCTGCCTCCCATCGAGAGGCGAGCCATAGCCTGGTGGGAGCGCAACTGGAACGCCACTTGGTGCTGCCGACGTTGCCTGGCCCTCGTATGGAATATCGGTCCTGCTACCCTGGACCACATCCTTGATAGAGACTACAGAGCGCTGTGCCCAGCCGAGGCCCCCGTCCCCCCGACGCTCAACAGCCAGATAGGAGCGGAGGTGCCAGTGGACATCTTCAGTTCTCTCCCATGGATAGGCGCTGACGCCAAGGCCCGGCTGGATCGGCAAACCTCCCTGGCTCTAGCGCCTCGGGTGGAGCGGCCTCCGCTGCCGAGCAAGCCCCCAGGACGCTTGCACAGCTCATGGGGCTCCTGCCAGAGCTGCCAGTCCCGCAGGGCCCGCTCCTGGACAGCAGGGACGTCAACAACCCCACGCTGAGCCCAGACGACCCCAGGAGCGGACCGGGCAGCCGAGACGCGGCTGTGCAGCGACTCCTGGTAACCTACCTCCGGGACTTCCACCCTGGGCTGGATTAAATTTGGCGACAGTTCTGTCTCAGCAACCGCGACGACAGCATCCCAGAGCCTAGGAGCGAAGAAGCCTCCTGGCCGGGCGGACGTCTGACGGAGTTTCTCAGGACGGCGTACGGCGAATGCATCTCGGAGGATTGTGCCCCGCTCAACCAGCCCTGGGAAGGCAAACGGCTGGCCGCTGCGCGGGTCGTCTCCCACCTCGCCAACGGCGAGAAACATAGGGAGTCCTGGGAGAAGCACGCCTCGGCCCTCGCCCCGGCGAGTGGCCTCAGCCCTGTCAGACACGAAATGGGCACACTGACGAGTTTCCTACTCAGCCTCAGCGCCGACGCCCCGGCCTCGGCAACCATCACTTCCCTGGCCGAGTCGCGCGTGCAGACCACGAGTGAGGACAGACCAAACACCTTTACGGCGGCCGACGCAGACCAACCCCTGGGTACGAGAGACGACGACACGCGTCTTGGCAATCCGGACTTGCCCGACCACGCTGCCAAGGACGAGGGCGGTGAAGACGAGATCCCTCCTACGGAAAAAGTGGATTCACCCGAGTATGGAATCCCCCACGAGTCTCCTCCTCCTGTATCTTGTTCGGGCGCGGCCACGGAGGTCGACGACGATGGCCCTGGCGACAAGGCGCCTCAGCGGAGCCCGACGGCAGACAGCATGGATCCCAGCTCTGACCGCGACCCGATAGCTGCCCGGGGTGGCCCTGCCAGCACCGACCAAAATGCCAGCGAAGCCGGTGGGCCAGATCACGACGAAGTCGCCCGCGATAGGGGTGATGCGCAGAGTCGTCGTCCCCCACTACGCAACCCACAGGTTCCTGGCCATAGGCTTACCTACCCTCCTTCAGCGGAGCGACACACACTCAACCTGCTGACCGACTCCCATGGGGGCCCCATGTACAAGGCCTGGCTGGGCACCGTGGACTTGGAGCGCCGCGGAGAGCCACCCGCCAAACGCCTCACCAGACACCAAATGGAGTTGGGTGGAGTATTCTGTGCTCTGTGGACGGCCTACACGCAAGGCATTCGGCTCCCTGGGCCCAGGGCACCCAAGTCTGACCCGAGGCTGCACTCGGACGCGACCATCAACAAGTTTTTTGATGACTGGAAGGGCTGCGGATACAGCGCCTACTTGATGGACAGGAGGTTCGGCTTCCGCATCGATTGGGCCATAGTGCGGGCCGAGTACCTGCGCCACACGCGGCCCGACGGCACGGGCAAGGGCAACCACCAGCAGAGCAGCTGGCGCGAGCGAGCAACAAGCTCCTGGGACGCCTGGGGCACCTGGCAGAGTGACTGGAGCTCTGGCTGGCACGACGACCGTTGGCAGACGGGAGGCAAGCGTGGTGGAAGCAGGCCCGACGAACGGGGTGAAAAAAAGGCAGCGATGGGGCGACTGAGCTCCCCTCCCACCCATCCCGCCACCTAGAGGGACACATATTTCGACCTTGCTACACACTTCGAGCAGCCTTCAGCTGCCTCCCGTTGCTCTCTCAACCCTTGTGGCAGCCGCGCTGCCTCCCACCCTGGTACACGCACTTCCTGCCTTTGGACCCAAGTGCGTCGACCAGCAATGCCATCTGCATCGCTGCGCG